TGTAAATGGCATTGCACCTCTACTCTATTAGCCACTGTGTTGTTCTAGGGCAGTGAGTGGTTCTCAACCTTCCTAATGCCGCGACCCTTTAATACAGTTCCTTGAGTTGTGGTGACCCCATAACCATAAAATTATTTTCGTGGCTACTTCATAACTGTAATTTTGCTACTGTTATCAAGCGTCATGTAAATATCTGATATGCAGGATGTATTTTCATTGTTACAAATTGAACATAATTAAAGCATAGTGATTAATCACAAAAACAATATGTAATTATGTATGTGTTTTCCGATGGTCTTAGGCGACCCCTGTGAAAGGGTCGTTCGACCCCCAAAGGGGTCGCGACCCACAGGTTGAGAACTGCTGTTCTAGGGAGAAAGGAGAGTTATGTGGCTGAGCTGTGAAGACAGAGCCTGGGAGAATCAAAACTCGGGGAGGAACCCATGAACAGGGGAGAGAGCATCGGGAGATGGTGAGGAGGCTGGGAAGCATCCTTCCATTGAACAGGGCTTTGATAGACAATGAAGATACCCAGAACTTTAAGGGCCTGACAACTCTCTCAGCATCTCTATCTTTTCAAAGAAGTCTTCTGAGAAGATGATCTGTCCTCCCACCCAGCCCCGTGCCCCACAATCTAATGATGGCAGGCTGCAAAACGCACACAGTTCATTTCTCTGAGATTCACTTTAGAGTGAGTTTTCCTGGGACGCTGGTTCAATGAACATCCACAGTTATTTCTTTAATAGGAAAGCACAGTATATACCAGAGACCACAGGAAAAAAATTTCAAATATCTACAGCAAGCTGCCCAGTAGAACTTTCTGTGCGGATGGAAATGTTCTCCATGCAGCTGCTCTGTCCCATATGAGGGCCATCGATGACACGTGGCTAGGGAGCTCCTGAAATGTGGCTGGTCTGACTGAGGAAAAACACTTTAAACTTAATCTGACTTAATTCAATTTAAACTTAAATACCCATGTGTGACTAGTGGCTACCACACTGAACAGCAGAGACCCAGGGCTCTGATCATGTGCACGCCCTTGAGTCTAGTCCACAGCTTT